GGTCTGTATGTGGGATCCGAACCCTCGGTGGGAGCGCCGCCGCACTTCCCAAGCGGCACACTGTAGCAGTGCGCCACCGGGCCGGCCCTCATTTTTTGTTGTTGTTGAAAACTGGACATTTAAAATATTATAATGTGGCAACTCTGGAAATCAGATTCTCCCCATGCTAGGGTTTGTTGTTGCTGCTTATTGTAGTTGTTTTCTGTTTAGTAACTTTTCTGAACTAATTTTGTAAATTTTTTTTTTTTTTTTTTTGGTCATGTGTGGCCACTGAAGTCTGTTCCATTAACTTAATTATCAGGTAGGGATATGACAGAGATTTTTTTACTCTGTCATTTTCAGTAATGCTGCTCCCCTGCAATCAATTTTTTAACAGATAAATAAAAAAGAGGGTTAGCACTAGTAATTGATGCTGAATCTTTCTCCTAGATGATGGACTCTGGTCTAGAAGCCTTCACATTTTTGATGACTCCATATTATTTTGCATACTTCCCTCTCCTCCCATGAGTAGCTTTCTTTGTCATCTTCCTCCTCAGACTGCTGGGGAACTCCAACTCAGGCCAGAAATACAATTAATACGGTATAGTATTTGTGGTTTCTAAATACAATATGGACACTGATTCCCAAATAAAATTTGCCTTTGGCCCAGACCCATTCTAGACATGAAGCCATGCTCCATTCTCCCAAGGGAGGTATGAAAACTCAGTCCCAGCCTTGACTGACTTGAGAAGTGCGCCAGTGGATTGAGTAAGCCCCATTAACGTGGCGTATTCCCCCAGTCTGGACTCTTTCATTAGCCCCAAAACCCCGAATAACCTGAAGGAAGAAGTCTTTCCACATTCTATTCCTGGACTGTCCTCTGCTACATATGACTGATAGTGACACCCTACTTTAAAAGAAACTTCAAGAGCACTGACTATGAAGGTGAGATATTAGTAAGTATTAATCTAGTTATCTATAGTCTAGAAATAAAATATGCTTGTAAAAAAGAACCACCTTTGGCTGAAGCCATGAAATGACAGGGAATTTCACAGGAATTTCAGTTCACAGATTTCTGGGGATAAAGTTTTCCAAAAGAAAATTTCAGAATTCTGTGCAGAACACTCTTTTATCCTCCCTTCTACCAGTCCTTTGAAAAACAGGAAACCTCTTGGATTAAGAGTTTTTTCAAATATTGAGTAAAATATTTATGATACGGGACTTATATATAGTTGCCAAGTACTTGCTTTTCCAAATATAATTTCTAAAACTTTATGATAGGAAGATTTTAATATGACACTGCATATAGTTTTAGATCATTCCATTTCCTGAACACATGAAGGCAAGTAATAAGGTAAAATGCCCAAATGCAACCCAAAGTGCAGTCTTCCCTCAGAGGGCACTGCCTCTCACTGGAGAGATGCCTTGGAAGGATCCCTTAGCTTATACAGTCCTTCAGCAAATAATTATCAACCAGCTTCCATATGCTGGGCTTTCTGCTGGATCAAATCAGACTTTGCCAAAATAAGGTGTGAATGACTAGTATCATAGTCTTCCCATGGGATATTCGAATTTTTATTTGAGTTAAAATACATTTTAATGGAATGTGTGGAGAAGTGTTTTTTGAGCAGAAGACGGATAAAGAAAGGAAACTTCCAATTGATTTTCCAAGCATATTTCTAAAAGATCTGTAGAGAAACAATGTACATGGAGTACCCTCCAAAATGTATTTTCAAACCCCTAATTTACTGTGTGCCTGCTTGATGCTACGTGAAATTTATAATGATCTTGGAGGTAGTTTTAAGGACTTTCATCTGAATTTGGTTCAATGGAAAAGATTGTTTCCAAAACAGTGTCAGTAAACTGAGTGCTTTATTCCTGGGAGAATCAGCTCCAGAAAGTACTATGTAAAATAGTGAGTCTTAATAGGGAAAGAGGTATCCTTTGGGTTGCCCTTACACATGGCACCCTACTCATGGCTAAGAGCCTCCTTTCATTCATTCATTCATTCAGCAGTGTTACTGAATATCTACTATATACATGGCAGTATCTAGGCTCTGCGTGGGAGAGTTCCTGTACTCAGGAACTTGAAATGTTATAGATATTTCATAAATGGTGTATAAATAAAAATGCTTTGGTGGGTACATTCAGGTTGTAAAAATCCATCAAGCTGCATTAGGATTTATGCCCTTTTCTGTATGTGTTATACATCCAAAAAAAGTTCCCCAAGAAAGTGCTTCGGGGATTCAAAATTGGAAGATGTTACTTCCGGCGAAGAGAATAGGGAAATGTCTCCACAAGGAAGTTTCAGGCTTTATATTATAGCATTACTGAGAGTTCAGTATAATCAGGATAAGGTGTTTTTATTTTCAGGTAGGCAGATGATGTTATCATCATTATAGCAGCATTACTCGTTACATTATTCATTTTAACATTTAATGGGCTTTTTAAAAAAATAAATTAATATGTACTTTAAAATTTTTCTCAGTTTCAATTTTTACTGTGACAAATAGTTACATTATTCATTTTAACATTTAATGGGCTTTTTAAAAAATAAATTAATATGTACTTTAAAATTTTTCTCAGTTTCAATTTTTACTGTGACAAATATCTATATCTATCTATCTATATATAACCCACATGCACAAAAGCTCTTTTGGAGTCCTCAGTCATTTAGAAAGAGTATAAAGATTTCCCGAGACCAAAAAATTTGAGAACCACAGCCATACACTATTCTGCCTTAGGAGAGTGGCTGCAAAAAAAAAAGCTGTTTTTATGGCTCTAGCAGCAGCTTTAAAGTCAGATTCACCTCCGTTTGAGGCCTGTCACAGAAAAATGTGTCCTTCCTTTTCTCCTGTAAATCTGGACATCATATTGCTGACATCCTGGGGTGGTAGTGAGAATTAAATGAGAGACCGCAAGGAAAGCGCTCAGTGCAGAGTAAGCACTCAACCAGTGACACCAAACCTGGAACTTCTCTTGTGTTACCACAGGTGATGGAATTTTACTGCCAGTCCTGTGAGACTGCCATGTGTCGGGAGTGCACTGAGGGGGAACACGCAGAGCACCCCACGGTCCCGCTAAAGGATGTGGTGGAGCAGCACAAGGCCTCACTCCAGGTCCAGCTGGATGCTGTCAACAAAAGGTGTGGCACCCCTCCCCCAGGCTCCCAACTGGCCACCTGTGCATGAGGCCAGGACTCATGGTCTCTTGTCTCAGTGTGATAGTAGGTTCTTGTTGCCCTTCAAGGTATCAGTCTTTGTGTCATAAATTCTCCTTTGATCAGGGGCCTATAGTCATAAAGTAGTGAGTGATGAAGGTTGTCCCTTGACCCTTGGTAAAATTCCAATCTCCTTATGTTATGAGTGGTGGCATTTTTGTTTTAGCACCTTAATATGATTAAATGAGTTAAAGTGTATTTGATGAAAATGCTCTCAGGTGATCTCTGAAATTCATGCCTGAAACCAGGCTCTGGGAGGAGCCTTCCTAAGCTGCTGTCCTTGACACACTTACAGGCCCATTGTATCGGCTCTGACTGGCTCCTTTCTATTTGAACCCTGCAAAATGGTTTCGAGCAGTGATTGCTCGATTTTACTCGTTTTCCTGCATTCAGACTCTTTCTTTGGCATGGAAATGAAGCGACAGTAGCTGTGTGGTGCATGAGAAAGACCAAAGAGGAAATAAACAACCAGCTGAAAAGCAGACAAAATAAATCAAAGTGTGGTAATTCTATACCAACTAAAGAAACTTGGAAACATGAGAAGTTCCCAGGAACCTCTGAGTTTGGATAAGTTTTTTATGTGGTTGGGAAAAAGATACAGCTATACATTTAGAACGTCTTTCTCAACCACGGACAATTATGCCCCCCCCAGGGAACATTTGGCAATGCCTGGAGACACTTTTCGGTGTCACAGCTGTGTGTGTGGGGGGGTTGCTATTGGCATCTGGTAGAAGACAGGATGCTGTTAAAACATCCTACAATGCATAGGACAGTCTCCTCTAACAAAGAATTATCTGGCCATAATGGCTCTTCAGAGAGTTTCAAATCCTTGTACCATCAATTATTAAAATTAGATGATTAAAGATAGATTGAAATACACATGGACCCTGGAAGTCTCTTCTCTCAAAGGCAGCAATTATGTCATGTCTTATTCATTCTGTTCTTTAGTTATTACTATTTAAAGACAAAAGGCAGAGAAAAATAATTTTTCTTGTTTTAGAAAATATTGTGTTTGGATAGATTTTGGAGTATTTCTGAGTTGATGTTAAACAATGATCTTTAACAACTGTCCCTCAGGCTCCCAGAAATAGATTCTGCTCTTCAGTTCATCTCGGAAATCATTCATCAGTTAACCAACCAAAAGGCCAGCATCGTGGATGACATCCACTCCACCTTTGATGAGCTCCAGAAGACTTTAAACGTGCGCAAGAGTGTGCTGCTTATGGAACTGGAGGTCAACTACGGCCTCAAACACAAAGTAAGGCTTCCGTTGTTCTTACAGATATTCTGTAAAAGACATACCATAGCACTGGGTTCTAACAGCAGCAAATGGGACTCAAATGGGTCCTTAAGTGTTGCCCTTGTACAGTAAACAGGAGTTTTCATTAAATGGAACATCTAGCTATTTTTTGGTTTGTTTTCTTTTCTGTTTTCAGCAAAATTCTGAGTCTGTGACCTTGAGTATCAGTTTGTAATATGGGTTTGTTTTCTTTTCTGTTTTCAGCAAAATTCTGAGTCTGTGACCTTGAGTATCAGTTTGTAATATGACAAAAAGTGAAGTTGAGTATAACGTAATGCTTTCAGGATTTAGAGTTAAACTGGATTGTTTTCCTTCCTTAATTATAATGTCTCTTAATTGCTCTCTCTCCCACACCAACCTGTTAGTCAACTTCAGAGTGAACCCTGACTATACAGCTTTTGTTTGACTCTGCATGTCTACTCACAAAACCACGGATGAAAAGCTTCTGGTGTTCAGATGTGGAGAGTTTTCATCTGTTAAATTTCTGCTCCTTTCGGTGGTGAAAGCAGGGAGAGGGGGAGTTAGACATTAGGTAAAGATGCGGAATAATGAATATTTCAGATGTCAGGCATAGTAATTTGTTTGCCACGCTCTTCATGGTGATATTTCTGTTTGCCCCTATCCAAAACACATGATCCGAGAAATACATGTGTGCAAGAGACACGGAGAGGCGGAAGGTACTGGGATGCAGGTTAGGATTTTGCATTAGATCTGGGTTCACCTGGTTCGATGAAATGCTGCGTGCTCGGAGCCGCCTGCGTGGGCAGGAGTCGAAGCTCGTCCTTGCCCGCGGGGGCGCTGTCCCGGCGGGCGGGCGGGCGTGGCGGGCGTCCACCGGCTGAGCCCTGCCCTGCAGGGGGCACTCACGAGGGCTTGGTTTGTCCCGGCAGGTCCTCCAGACGCAGCTGGATACTCTGCTCCAGGGGCAGGAGAGCATAAAGAGCTGCAGCAACTTCACCGCGCAAGCCCTGAACCATGGCACGGAAACCGAGGTGCTGCTGGTGAAGAAACAGATGAGCGAGAAGCTGAACGAGCTGGCGGACCGAGACTTCCCCTTGCACCCGCGTGAGAACGACCAGCTGGATTTCATCGTGGAAACAGAAGGGCTGAAGAAGTCCATCCACAACCTCGGGACCATTTTAACCACCAACGCCGTCGCCTCCGAGACGGTGGCCACGGGCGAGGGGCTGCGGCAGACCATCATAGGGCAGCCCATGTCCGTCACCATAACAACCAAGGACAAAGACGGCGAGCTGTGCAAAACCGGCAACGCCTATATCACCGCGGAACTGAGTACCCCCGACGGGAGCGTGGCGGACGGGGAGATCCTGGACAACAAAAACGGCACCTATGAATTTTTGTACACCGTCCAGAAAGAAGGGGACTTTACCCTCTCCCTGAGACTCTATGACCAGCACATCCGAGGTAGCCCATTTAAGCTGAAAGTGATCCGGTCGGCTGACGTCTCCCCCACCACCGAAGGCGTCAAGAGGCGCGTGAAATCCCCGGGAAGCGGCCACGTCAAGCAGAAAGCGGTGAAAAGACCCGCGAGCATGTACAGCACTGGAAAACGAAAAGAGAACCCCATCGAAGACGATCTGATCTTCCGAGTGGGTAAGCAGAGGGCGTACTGCGCTGATGCCGTCGTTCTGGGGGGACTGGGGGAGCGTGACCGCACGTGGGAACGCTGCAGAACTTCTGCAGGAAGGTGCTGGGAGATACTGGTGTAATTCGTCAGGGGAGCTTATGCAGGCTCTTTCTCTGGACATGTCATTTCCTCCCCTTTCTCCTCTCTTCCCTCCCCCCTCCTCCAACCCCCTCTTTTTTTAACACTCCAAGTGCTGCATATTCATTGTAGAAATAGAAAAATCACAGCACTTGTAACCTGAACACTTTAAAGGACATGTTGGCGGTCTTTCCTTCCCACCCCCACCCCTTCCATGGTAGTGTCTTTAGAGCACTCCTGCCTAACTCAGAGGCAGAGAGATCATTATGTCGGGAAACTTCTTGTGTTTCTCTGAAATCCGCCAGCCCCGTGGGCAGAGCAGTGTGTGATGGCTCCTTGTCACTGCTTCTGCACTGTAAGGGGTGGGGATGGGAACAGTGGTGCGCTGCAAGCTTTGGTCACCTCCCACTGCTTGTAGTTGGAGAGCAGCCCTGAAGAGGGGAGGGTGGGTGGAAACTGGGAGAATGGAATGGGGTTGGGGCAGAAGCAAGAAGGGGCAGGATGAGCCAAGAGATTTGGGAATGCAAATAGCCCTTCCCTCCTCTGATTCATTGCCTCTCATTTTTTCTTAACTGTTTATTTTCTCAGTAGAAGGCAAATTAAATGTAAACAACAAAGGGCTTCATAATTCTTAGGGGAAAAAATGTGCATTTTGGTTAGTTTCAGAAAGTTGCTTCAGCCTGCTTGCTTTTTCTCTCGGTTTAGTGCTACACTGCAATATCTCTAAAAGGGTGCTGCACAGTGTATTAATTGACACATGTAGAAAAACAAAACAATTCTCTGGTTCAAATCAATTGGGGAAAGCTTAGGCCAGATGAAGAAACAGATTTTTTTTTTTAAACTGCAGAACTTCTCAGAAGCTTTAGAGTCTGCTGATGTGCACTGTTAGTCTCTGAGGCAGGGGAGGGATAACAGGCAGCACTTCCAAACTTTTCTAACCATAGAATTTTTCCATGGAACATCTTGGGAAACTAAGGCTTCTTGGAACATTCTTGGGCAAAGCGGCTGTATGTTAATACTTCAGACCCAATCTTGGTAAAGACTGTGGTATGATACGTAACTTGTCAGTTCAGAGCTTGGAGGTCCTCATGCACTCACTGGTCATATGCGCAGTGTGGGTGCAGAGGTTGTTGATACACCTGCCAAAACAGAGCGGACGAGCTGGGATGGGCGCGGGATTGGGAGCCTCCCAGGTTTGCCATTCCGGTTCCACCACTTACTGGAGCCTCGGCAGGTCTCTCAGCTTCCCTGGACTTCAGTTTCCATGTCTGTAAAATGAAAATACAAAACTACCTGCTTCTCAGAACTGTTCTAAGTTCCGACCTTAATGCCTAACATGGAGGAGGAACTAAATAAATGAGAGCTATTGTTCTTGAACGTGTCATTGTTAAGGCTGTCAGATTTTCCCTACTATCCTTTCTTTTCGAAAAAACTTAACTTGCTGCTTCTCATTGATCTCCTGCATTAATAAATTCATTCTTCCATTCACCTCCATCCCCCAACCAAGTGACCTTAGTCTACTTCTCCAGGTAGTGTGCTGAGTAGCAGAAGGCTCAGATCTGAAGTTGGGCAGATCTAGGTCTGAATCTTGAGTCTCCTGGGCAACTGGGCAACTGGTTTGCCTTTTCTAAACCTTGTTTTCTCCTCTGTGAAATAAAGGGAATGAAATATTACCTAACTTTTAAGGTTCGTAAGGTTGTTTTGAAGGTGAAATGAGAGAGAATTCTTATAATATGCCCGGCACTTGTCTATGTATAGCAAGTGCTCAATTAATGGTAGCTATGATTTTACTATTGTTATTATAATTAATCATTATCATCTCTCTCCTCTGACACCTAAGCAAGGAGAGAGACAGACATCTTAGAGGCATTCCTCCATTCCCCACAAACGATTTTGGTTTTGAGTCCCCAGCTCCCACGCTGGGGCATTCTTCTCCCCTCCTACCCATTGAGAAATGAAGTCCTAGTGATTCACTGGCACTGGAAAGGTGGAAAGATGTTCTTTAAACATCTGTAAAGAACTCAGAACGGAGTGTGGCATACAGCATGATATCCGAGTTTATTAATGAAGTAAAGATGCTGTCTGAGTGTGCTAGGGCTGCCGTAACGAAACACCACAGTCTGGGTGGCTTAAAAACCAGAAATTTATTTTCTCAGTTCTAAAATTGGAACTGTTTTAGAGTTAGAAGTCCAAGATCAAGGTGCTAGAAGGATTGGTTTCCCCTGAGGAAACCCTTGGTTTGCAGATGGCTGGCCTCTTGCTGTTTTGTCCTCACGTGGTTGTCCCTCTGCACACTAGTACCCCTGGCACCTCTTCCTTTTCTTATAAAGACACTCATCATATTGGATTAGTGCCCCATCTTGATGGCCTTGTTGTAACTTAATCACCTCTTCGAAGGCCTTATTCTCCAAATATGGTTACATTCTGAAGTACTGGGGGTTGGGACTTCAACGTATGAATTTTGGGAGGACCTAATTCAGCCCATAACAGATGCTGTACACCTCGGGTATGTAGGAGCAGAAAGAAAGGCAAATCTTACTGGCCCATTCCTCTTTTTTTATTTTTAAAATTGACAAGTAAAAACTATATATTTATGATGTATAACATGATGTTTTGATATTGACTTTTTTAGATTCTACGTATCAGTGAGATCATACAGTATTTGTCTTTCTGTGTCTGGCTTATTTTACTTAACATAATATCCTCCAGGTTCATCTAAGTTGTCAGAGATGACAGGATTTCCTTATTTTTTTAGGGTGAATAGTATTTCATTGTGTAAATATACCATGTTTTCTTTATCCATTCATGACACTTAGCCATATCTTGACTATTGTGAATAATGCTGCCACGAACATGGGAGTGCAGATATGTCTTCAAGATAGTGATATCAATTCTTTTAGATGTATACCTACTAGTGGGATTACTGGATTATGTTTCTATTTTTGATTTTTTGGGGAACCTCCATATTGTTTTTCAAAATGGCTCTACTAATTTACATTTCCAACAATTCTCTTTTCTCCACAGCCCCAGAAACACTTGCTATCTTTTGTCTTTTTTTTTTTTTGCATTTTTTGTCATTACTCATACCTATGGTACATGTAGTTTGATTTATATATAATTCTATTCCCTAACTGTATAGAAAATGTGATATAATGCTGAAGGGAAAAACTAGGCTACAGAATGACACACAAATTATTAATATAAAAAGATAAAAATATACCAAAATACTAACAGTGGTTATCTCTAGGTTGAGGAATTATGAATAATGTTAATTTTCTTTGTCCTCCCCCCCCCATTTTTCATTGCTGTCTATAGTTAGCATTAAGAATTTCTTTCTACCTTTTTTTTCCCTCAAAAAATATATGTTGCATGCATTCAAATAGATCGACAATCCAAGAATATTCTCTGAAAATGCATCATTTAGCCTAGGGTTCGCCAAGCATACAAACACCTCTCTAAATAATATTTTATCACTTGTTCTAGACAGAGTTTAGTGAAGTCTTCTCCACAAACTCTTTCGGACCCAACTTGGCATTTAGAATCTCCCAAGTGCCCAGTTTGGAGCGGGGTCTTCCCGCTGAGCTGTGGGCTGGCCGATGCTGTGAATCTTAATGAATGCAGTAGTGCAGAGTGTGGGGACAGCGTTCCCACCCGCACGAGCCACACAGGCACGGGCCTCGACCGGGGCTTGCAGGATCTTCAGCTCCTGATATTCAAAACAGACGTTTAGGGAAAAGGAGATGAGATGAGAGCGAATTCGAAGCGTTACCCAACCTTTGGCCAGTGCCCAAGGGTTAAGATTGCGGTGCCAGCGGAGAGCGACTGCTGGGGTTTCCAGAGTGGGCTCCAAGGGCCGCATTTGCACAGCGGTGGCGCACGGGCGCGGGCCGGTATCTTATTTCTTTCTACGCGGTGCGGCATCTGGTCCCGAGCAGGCCTCCCCGCACCCAGAGGGGCCACCCCAGCCACTGAAGGGCCCGGGATCCTTAGCTGACCCTTGCCCTCGGAATCCTCTAGTGGAAGATGACCGCCGCCCCAGGGCCCCGCACACCCCCGGGGTTAAGGAGCTCTTCTCAGGCCTCGAGCCCACCCAACCGCCCGGCGGACGGCGGTGGTGCGGCCGGACCCTCTTCTGTCCTTCTGACACGGTCTACATTACATTCTAACAGGTGGGAGGTGCTATCTCATTGTGGTTTCAATTTGCATTTCCCGGATGATTAGTGATGTTGAGCATTTAAAAAATATACCTGTTGGCCATTTGTGTGTCTTCTTTTCAGAAGCGTTTATTCAGATCTTTTGCCCATTGTAAGATCAGGTTATTTGTTTTCTTACTATTGTTTGAGTTCCTTATATATTTTGGATATTAACCCTTTTTCAGATACATGGTTTGCACATATATTCTTCTATTTCGTAGCTTGTCTCCTTTGCTGTACAGAAGTTTTAAAATTTAGTCCTGTTTGTCTATTTTTGCTTTGTTGCCTCTGCTTTGGGGTTATATCCAAAAAGTCATTGCCCAGACCAATGTCACGGAGCTTTTCCTGTATGTTTTCTTATGTTTCAGGTCCCATGTTTAAATGTTAATTCATTTTGAGTTGATTTTTGTATATGGTATGAGATTAGGGTCCAATTTCATTCTTCTGTATGTAAATATCCAGTTTTCCCCAGCACCATTTATTGAATAGACTTTCCTCCTCATTGCATGTTTCTTGGAATCTTTGTCAAAAATCAGTGAGCTGTAAATGTGTGTGTTTATTTCTGGGCTGTCCATTCTGTTCCATTGGTCTATATGTCTATTTTTATGCCTGTACCATGCTGTTTTTATTACTCTAGCTTTGCAATTGATTTTGAAATCAGGTACTGTGATGCATCCAGCTTTGTTCTTTTTTTT